AATGATAAAGGCAAGAGGCAGCCCAATAAATAGGGTTTCAATTGTTAGTCATGCAATGTATTCTATCCCTATACCCCTTCCATCAAGCACCACCAACCTCAACGCACAGCTGCAGATCTGCAGAGCAGAGTTCACTGGTGGCTTGGAACTAGCTGAGGGACCCCACTGGCAGGCAGACATATGTCTATCCTTGCAGGCAGGAGAAGTGGAGAAGCTTTCTTTTCTTTCTTTTTCATTCTTACCTTAAAGCATTCTTGGTTTGAATTCTTCACTTCAACTCCCCACTTTGCCGCTGAACTACTTGGTTAAGTCTGCAGGGCCTGTTGACATTGGGTTGTCTACATTAACTGCCAGAGCCACTTTAGTCACTGGAATATGATTAAATCTGAAAATTGTATTTGTACAATGATTCTTTCCATGTTTTCACATATTTATGATGTGAATAAATATTTGTTAGACAGTGTCTACAGTGTTTCAAGTGCCCAGACAAAAATGGAAGCAGTTGGAACATTAAATCTAAAAATTCCAGATGTGTAGAGATATCTGGATATGTCACTGAAATTTTCAGATTTCATCCAGATGTTTGGTGTTATGGTTGTTTGTTTCTACAAAAGTCATACATTTATGGTACAATATAAATATGGATTATGACATTATATAGATTCAGCTTCCCATTAACCTAATTCACTGTGGCCACCTTAGGAAATTATGAGACACTATAGATTCATATATAATTTGTTTTCTTCTCTAATGTAAAGCCTAGGAGACCAGATATTATACACATTAAATGCAAATGTGCAAAGTGCCTGGATTCCAATAACACCTCCACTTCCTATACAACTTCCTGCTAATGCTCACCCTGGGAGGCATCAGTTGATGGCTGAATTACTTGGGTCCCTACCATCCAGGTGGGAGACAGAGGTGGAGTTCTTGGCTCTTGACTATGGTATGGCCCACTCCTGGCTCCTGTGGTTATGGGGAGTGAACAAAGAGATGGAAGATAATCTCTTTCATTCTCACTCTCTCATTCTGCCTTTCAAATGAATAAAAACAAATAATTTTTAAAAATTAAATGGCAAAATGTCATATGGTGAGAAAGAAAACCAATGGACATACTTTCTTTTAAATACAAAGTCGTATTCCTAAAATCCGTACCTTCTTCTTAGAATTTTCTCATGTGAAATTGCATATGACAGATGGATGCTGGTATTACAGAATTACTGTACCTCCTCTCCTAGAGAAGAACATCAGCATGGATTTCAATAACTCTATTCCTCCCGGTTTTTGTTTCCTGTCAAGATTATTTTGCATGAATGTTTCAGTCTTGGTGACAGTGATTATGATGATGACTTACATGTTGTTTTTTGTTTCCATCTGGAATCGTCAATGGAGAAAATATCCCTATGGAGAATCTTGAAAGCCTCATTATTCCAATATCACAAATATGAAAATTGAGACAGAGAAAAGTGTGGTTTTCCCAAATTCACACAAAAACTCAGAAGTGAAGCCAAGAGTAGTACCCAGCTCATGTGCAACAGATCTAATGCAACCTGCACTGTCAAGCTCACATGGTGATTAGACTGAGTAGTGTAATTACCTAAAGTACAGGGCAGGAAAATAGCGCCCCATTTACCAACCCGGTCACAGCAAGTAGAGGAATTACGTGAATGGGAGTCACCATATGGATGGTGCTCACGCATTGCACAATCCTGTACTTTACCTTCTTATCCTGAATGCTCTAAAAACAGGAGTTTGAGATAGAATTCAAATAAAAAAACCAAACCCCAATTCTGGAGCCAGATAAAGACATAGGTGTTTAAATCGTGCTGTTAGATTAAATCCTGGGGTTAGAGTTTCCATCTGTGTCATGTTCATGTAAACTTTACCTCAATTGTCTCATTTATAACATAGAAATAATGTTCACAACATGAGGGGAAAGTGTATTAGAAATAAAGCACATGTAGCACATATGCTGTAACATGATGCATGCAGTGATCCTTATGAGTGGTAAGCAGTAATAATATGTCAGTTCTCATCAAATATTTTTAAATCTTTATTTATTTGAAAGGCAGAGAGTTACAGAGAGGCAGAGGCAGAGAGAGAAAGAGGGAGAGAGAGAGAAAAAGGGAGAGAGAGAGAGAGAGAGAGGTCTTCCATCCGCTATTTCACTCCCCAAATGGCAGCAATGGCCATAAGCTGAGCCAATCTGAAGCCAGGAGTCTGGATCTTCTTCTGGGTCTCCCACATGGGTGCAGGGCCCAACAACTTGGGCCATCTTCCACTGCTTTCTCAGGCCATAGCAGAGAGCTGAATTGTAAGTGGAGTGACCAGGACTTGAACTGGCACCCATTTGGGATATTGGCACTTCAGGTGGCAGCTTTACATGCTATGCCATAGTGCTGACCCCTCACCACTGAACTTTAAATCAAATTTTTACTATATTGTATTATTTTTATCAAATGGACTAGTGTATAGATAGGTAATAAATGAGACATGATGTTAATTGAACCCAGCAGTGAAAGCAGTGACAATCCCTAGTTAAGAATCATCTCAATTTCAGTATTTAATTGTGTAAATGTCTAAGGAATTTATACTTTTATGAATCATGTGATTTGAAGGTTACAGACATAAATATGTCTTTGGAAATTTGAGTTATTTCTCAGCACATTCCCATTGTCACTGTGTATTCACAGAAATTGAGATTATTTCAAATATGAAAATGCAGAACATTCAAAATATATTTGGTGTAAAGAATGAAATATATTTGGTGGTGAAGCAGACCTGTCCCTATCAGATACAAAGATCTGGTATAAAATTACAGCAAGAATGAAAATATTATGTTCTCACAGGTAAAAACTGACCCAGGGACAGAACAGAGTAAAGCAGAAAGCTGTGCATAGGAGGGGCCTTGAAAAGCTCATGGATGGGGCCAGTGCTGTTGTGCAGGGCATTGAGCCTCTGTTTGTAACACCAGCATGCCATGTGGAGCACCAGTCTGAGTTCTGGCTGCTCTGCTTCAGATTCAACTCCCTTCTAATGCACCTGGGAGAGCAGCAGACAATGCCCTGAGTACTTACTCCCTGCCACCCACATGGGAGACCCAGACATGGTTGTGGGCTCATCTGACTGTGGGAGTGAACCAACAGATGGAAGATTTTTCTCTTTCTCTGTTTCTCTCTCTGTCTCCATTAGCATAACTTTCAAATAAATAAAATAAATCTTGAAAAAAAAAACCCTCAGAAACCTCTTGGAACACAAGAAGTTATCATTTAATTCCATTTTCTGTGAGCTTTTTGAAGCCACTTTCTACATGGAAGCTTTATTTATGATGGAATTGAAACAGTGATCACTGAGAAAATGGTGACTTTCGTAAAAAGCTACCTAGAACAACTTGTTCTTTTTAAATATTTATTTATTTATTTGAAAGAGTTACACAGAGAGAGGGGAGGCAGAGAGAGAGAGAGAGAGAGAGAGAGAGCTCTTCCATCCACTGGTTCACTTCCCAGTTGGCTGCAATGGCTGGAGCTGCACTGATTTGAATCCAGGAGCCAGGAGCCAGGAGCTTCTTCCCAATCTTCTCCATGGGTACAGGGGCCCAAAGACTTGGGCCATCTTCTGCTTTTGCAGGCCACAGCAGAAAGATGGATCAGAAGTGGAGCAGCCAGGTCTCGAACTGGCACCATATGGGATGCTGGTACTTCAGGCCAGGGCGTTAACCCACTGCACCACAGCACTGGCCCCAAGAATAACTTGTTATTCACACAGAATAAATGGAAGCATTTGCTTTCCTCTGTATACTAAAATCAATACTTCCTGGTTTGACAGGTTCAATTTGAAATGCAAACCTTAAACTCTTTGAAAATGTAGAATACATTTGTGGCCTCAGCAGAGAGTATCCTTCAATAGCTCTAACCATTAAAGAAACAGTGTGTAAATATAAATACATTAAGAGCTTCTGATCATCAACAAATACTCCAAGAAAAGGGGAGGGCACAAAACAGAGAAGATAGTAGCTTCCATACAACTGAAGATATTAAATTAGGACTCAGGCATTTTAAAGTCCATAAAGAGCAAGATTAATTTTAAAAAGAATTCATACCAGATACAGGGAGGTATTTCATAGAAGCACTACAGTGGGCCATTATTTTTTTTAAAAAAAGAACGTTAATTTATCTATGAGAAATGAGAGAAAGAGGCCTTCCATACACTGCCTCACTCCCCAAATGGCAGCACTTTCCAGGTGCAGCAACAGGGAGTGAATTGGACACAGAGCAGCCAGGACTCCTGGTGCTACAACATGGGACATGGGCACCAACTCTGGATCCTAAACTCTTCAAAGATACTTGACTCCATTAGAAAACAGGAAAGGCAAAATAAAAGCACAGTAAGATAACATTTATTGTCATTGTGTTGTAAAAAAAAAGTTGAACCTGGTAAATCCAAATGCAGGCAAAGATTTGGGTGAACTTGAACCTTTATGCCCTGGAATGAATAAGAAAACTAAACTGATACAACCTTGGGAAACATTTTTTTTTCACATTAGTGTGTTAAGATGAACATTTACATAACATTCAACCTATTGAAGCTCCTGGCTACGTATCCACATAGGTTCCATCACAGGTTTATCATGCAAGAGCAGAACCAAATACCTTGGAGACATCCTGAATGATAAGCCCTTTATTGTCTACTTCTCTTTATTATTGTGATTTTTAATTTTTAAATCCACAAAGCAAAAACTGGGAGGTAATACTACAATGAATTCTCTTTGTTGTTAAATATGAAAGGTAATCATTTGTGTGCATCTTCTGAATGTTTATAAATTATTATCACAAACATGCAACCTGATTAAACTCAGGGTGGGATTATTTTTATATTTACCCTCTTCCATGGTGTCTTCGTGTAAACCTTTGAGAATCTGGTTCTCCTAGGCAGACCAAAAGGAGAAAGCACTTGAATTTAATGTTCTGTTTTGCTTCGTGTGTTTCCTTTCTTTGTCCAAGGTGAAAGTGTGGTTCCAGAACAGGCGGATGAAGAGGAAGAGGGTAAAATTGGGCCAGCTGGGCACTGCTGCCTGAGAAAAGGAACTGGTGAACGTGAAGAAAGGAACCCTGCTCCCTTCAGAGCTGTCAGGGATTGGTATGGCCACGCTCCAGCAAACAGGGGACTCTCTGGACAATGAAGACAGCCACAACAGTGACCACAGCTCCGAGCATGCACACTTATGATCCACACAGACAGGACCAGCTCCATCCTCAGGAAAGAAACACCGTGATGGCAAGCCTTACCCAACAGAGTTTACACAGAGAGATGGCCATGGCCATGATTTTTAATATTATCAAATTCAGGCATCATGGGTCTGTTTTGCATGATTTATAGAGGAAGGAAGTGCCACTTATCAAAGATGTTTCCATGATGAAAATCAGAAGGTGAATTTGCTTTGAATAGTCCAGAGATGTTTGGTTGTGTGTATGACAGTGAGCAGGTATGTTTGCCTTTGCTTGCACTGAAAAATTAAACGGGTACTAAGAACAAATTATGACACATTTCTACACGAGATGCCTCCAGAGTGAAAACGTTGAAGATGAACTTACTTTACCCTCTCAGATGTACGAGTTCATGTTTATGACAGTGGGCAGGTATTTGCTTTTGCTTGTACTGAGAAATTGCTATCAAGAATAAAACATAAAACCTTTTATCCTGAACAGCCAAAGTGCCTGAGATCATTCAAGTAGATTTTAAAAAGGATGTAGTTTAACTCTGTATATATTATCCTTAAGTCATTTTCCTGTCTTCACTAATTTTAGCAATTCATTCATATTAGCTGATGAAAATAGGCACTGATAATGCCAGCCAGGTCAACTTCCTGCCTTTTTATGCATGTGTCATTCTGGGAAATCCGTATGCACTTACTTGTGTACAAGTAGAGAAAAATACAGTAGTCTAATACGACATATTCTTGTACCACAGACAAAACAAATGTTATGTTGCATTTACTATCACTGCTGCTAATACGTTATTATACAACTTACCTAGCTCCTCCTTGATTTATCCTATCTTGTAGCTTGAAAAAAAAATAGGATCATAGGCAAATCAGTTACTTTGTGGAAGGAGCTTTGTTGTGGCAGACACTGTCTGATTTTATTTCTATAAAATTAAAGCTGTTATGAATATGACTTAATTAACAAGAAAATGTTTCTTCCTTCTTAGAAATGGTGTCAGACAAGGAGCAAAGACAAATGGGCTCCCCAAGGGGATAGACAAAACAATTCTGAATGTCTTCAAATTAAATTCAGTAAAAACACATTATTTTTTAATATGTGATGTATTCTTGCAGAACAACCATCTTTGTATTTTGAGAAAAATGTTTAATAAATGATCCTTTATAAATAATTTTGGTCTCCCCATTGTAATTTCTTTAATTTCTATAGATTTTAATATTCATATCTAAGAGTGCCCCAGACTCATCTGCTCTGTACTAATTCAGATCAAGATCATTAATGAGTCACAGGTTTTCATTTGTAGATTTATTATGGCAAGAAAAAATCAATCCTTGGGTGATCAAAGAGAATCTAAACATCATCATACAGTAAACCATTTTCTTAATTTGAAGAATATGGCAAATTAATGTTTTTGTGTGTTTTACAAAGCAAAGATAAAAGGGAACAGGTAACACTAACTGCCACAACTAATAAGTAAAGTAGTCATATATTTTAAAATTTATGTTTAACATATGTGAATCAATCCAATAGTTGTTTTAAAGTCACATCAACCAGAGTCCTTGATGTTACCATGAGCTAGCCAATCAGAATCTTCATTGGAATGGATACCACAGGTATCAGAAGTCAACGACTATAGGCCGGCGCTGTGGCTCAATAGGCTAATCCTCCACCTGCAGTGCCGGCACACAGGGTTCTAGTCCCAGTCAGGGTGCCAGCTCTGTCCTGGTTGCTCCTCTTCCTGTTCAGCTCTCTGCTATGGCCCAGGAAGGCAGTGGAGGATGGTCCAAGTGCTTGGGCCCTGCACCCACCCAGGAGACCAGGAGAAGCACCTGGATCCCGGCTACTGTGGGGGTGAACCAATGGAAAAAGGAAGACCTTTCTCTCTGTCTCTCTCTCTCTCACTGTCCACTCTGCCTGTTAAAAAAAAAAGTCAAGGATTGTATTAACTTAATACATTTCGTGTCATGCATGGTTGCACATGCATTGGATGCCTAAGACCTACTTACAGCTATATCATGTTATTTTTTAACTGTTCCACATTTAACCAGAAGAATTTGGAAACATTACCATCATTCCTCCTTCCTCCATAGAAATAAACAGAAAAATAATTCATAAACATTTCCAAATTACTCATTATTTGATTTTGTTTCAGAATGATTAGATTGACAAAAATATATTGATTCTATTCTTAGTCTACCAAGACATATATGAGTATTCAAGAAATAAAGTAAATTATATTTTTGTATCATATTTTCTCTTTGTGAAATACATTTTATCACACTGGTAAACAATATATCTAATTTAATTTTGGGGAGATCCTGTTCAAATTGAAGGTACAAAACATACTTCTCTATCACTTGAAGGAATAAAAATTATGCTTGTATTGAAGATATCTATTTCTTTTTGTAGAATAACTCTGCCTCTCAAAGAAAATAAATCTTAAAAAACAATTCTATAAAACTATTCAGTTAACATTTGAGGTAAGTGATACTTAGGTGAAAATATGATGTTTGCAATATAAATACAAACAATTGGCATAGTTATTATTTGAACCATCTGGGGAACAGTGTATTTTGCTGTCAGTTCCTTATGCTGCATTCTGTTTGTAAAAAGCAATTCAGAAATAGAAAGAAAGCCACTGAGAATTTAGCATGAGAGCGGTAGTCTAAACATTCCAAACCTGAAAACGTTTGAAGTCTGCAGAACTGATCTGCAAATGCTCTTGAGAAAGTGGTGTTTGTTGTGGTGGTTGTGGTTGTTTCCTGATTTCTTACCTAAAACTGGCCAGGAAAATTGAGTAATAATTCTCTCACGTGTACCTCAATGTACAACTTTTGCCAAATAATGCTAACAGGAGTGGACAAAGGAACAAATGTGGTCCCAGAAAAAATAGATTGCTACATCAAGTTTTGAGAGCCTATAAAAATTCAATAAGAATTTTTGAAATAAATCTAATAATTCTCTATTACCATGTGTTTTCTCAATAATCTCATTTTGACATTTGATATGCTTAAAGATATAGATACATTTAAAAATTGAATCGGGGTGGAGCCAAGATGGCGGAATAGTGAGGGTGCACACCGATAGTCCGGGAAAATTTAGTTTAATAAAAGTGGAGTTATGGTAGCCTCAGAAAAAGACCAGAAAAAATTGCAGAGGAAACTCTTCTGGATATAGTGGCTGTGACTCGGAGGACCTACTGGGAGAACAAGGTCGCCCACTGCATGGAAGCCGAGCCGCGGGAGCCGCAGGGTCTGCGCGCCAGTGCAGAAAGGGGAGTGCATGTCACACAGACACCAGCGGGGAGAGTTGGGACGCCCAGGGCTCTGAGTCCACACATCGGCGCTGGAAGGGGAGGTGAGCTCAATAACCTGAGACATTGGCAGGGAAACGGCAGTCAAAATCTAGAGGGGAGTGGGAAAGTGCACCGGACACACTACCCGAGAGAAAGAAAAAAAGGTGGGGGGTTTCTCTCTGCAAGGCTTGCAAGAGTTTGCAAGAATTTGCAAGAGACAAAGAGCAGGCCCCCTCTCTCGATTTACATAACAACAGGGGAAAGCTAAGGAACTGAGTCACTACAATTCAGTAGCCTAGGCAACTCAGTGGGAGTCCAGAGGAGAAACAGAGCCTGCACAGACTCTTTGGGTAGAAGCCAGAGACTGGAAGCTAAATACCATCAATTCTGCACAGCTGTGCGGTGCGGTATTACTTACCCCCTGAATAAATAAAATAAATAAAATAAATAAATAAATAAATAAATAGAGAGAGATTTACCACGCATAACATGAGGGTGTCACGTTTGCACACCCATAACCCGGAAGAACCAAGCAGAGCTCTCAGGCCACACCCATCTCAAGCCTCCAAGGCTCCTCCAACAGCAGGCAGTCCACTTAACACAGACATAGTATAAAATAAAAAAAATTAAAAAAAAAAACGCACAGTGACGAAAGAAGAATTAACTATGCCAAGCAACAAACACAGAAATCGAGGGAACAAGACCAACGATGACACTATGATGCCTCCAAATAAACAAAACACCCCAAGCAAAGATCATGAAGATGATGAGATAGAAGAAATGCAAGATACGGATTTCAAAAAATTTATGATAAGAACATTTAGGAGTTTTCAAAAGCAAATCCTTGAACTACAGAAATCCTTAATGGACAGGATTGAAAATCTCTCTCATGAAAATGAAATTTTAAGGAAGAATCAAAATGAAACGCAGAAACTAGTAGAGCAGGAAAGTGTGATAGTGAAGAGAAATCAAAATGAAATGAAGAGCTCAATAGATCAAATGACAAACACATTAGAAAGCCTTAAAAACAGAATGGGTGAAGCAGAAGAGAGAATATCGGACTTAGAAGATAGAGGACAGGAAAACATACAGTCAAACCAAAGAAAAGAAGAGGAAATTAGAAATCCAAAAAATATTGTTGGGAATCTACAGGATACTATTAAAAAAACCAACATTCGAGTTCTAGGAGTTCCTGAAGGCATGGAGAAAGAGAAAGGATTAGAAGGCCTTTGTAGTGAGATACTAGCAGAGAACTTTCCAGGTTTGGAGAAGGACAGAGACATCCTAGTACAGGAAGCTCATAGAACCCCCAATAAACATGACCAAAAGAGATCCTCACTACGACATGTGGTAATTAAACTCACCACAGTGAAACATAAAGAAAAGATCCTAAAATGTGCAAGAGAGAAACGTCAGATTACTCTCAGAGGATCTCCAATCAGACTCACAGCAGACTTCTCATCAGAAACACTACAGGCTATGAGGGAATGGCGAGACATAGCACAGGTGCTAAGAAAGAAAAATTGCCAGCCCAGAATATTATATCCTGCTAAGCTCTCATTTGTGAATGAATGTGAAATAAAGACCTTTCATAGCAAACAGAAATTGAAAGACTTTGTGGCCACTTGTACGGCCCTGCAAAAGATACTTAAAGATGTGCTACACTCAGAAACACAGAAACACGGCCATCAATATGAAAGAAGGGAAAGGAAGAAAACCTACCAGTAAAATGAGCATGGGAAGCTCAAAGCATATATTAGAAAATATCTCCGGGAAAATGGCAGGGCAAAGTCACTACATATCAATAGTCACATTGAACATTAATGGTCTTAATTCTTCAGTTAAAAGACACCGATTGGCTGATTGGCTCAAAGAACACAACCCAACTATTTGTTGCCTACAAGAAACACATCTCTCTAACAAAGATGCATGCAGACTGAAAGTGAAAGGCTGGAAAAAGATATTCCATGCCAACAGAAACCAAAAAAAGCAGGTGTAGCCATATTAATATCAGACAAAATAAACTTTAATACAAAAACTGTTAAGAGAGACAAAAAGGGACACTGTATAATGATTAAGGGTTCAATTCAACAGCAAGATGTAACTATTATAAATGTATATGCACCTAATTACAGGGCACCGGTCTATTTAAAAGATATGTTAAGGGACTTAAAGGGAGATTTAGATTCCAATACAATAGTACTGGGGGACTTCAATACTCCACTCTCAGAAATAGACAGATCATCCGGACAGAAGATCAACAAGGAAACAGCAGATTTAATCGACACTATGCCCAAAAGATCTAACAGATATCTACAGAACTTTCAATCCTACATCTAAAGACTTCACATTCTTCTCAGCAGTGCATGGAACCTTCTCTAGGATTGATCACATACTAGGCCATAAAGCAAGTCTCAGCAAATTTAAAAGAATTAGAATAATACCATGCAGGCCGGTGCCCCGGCTCACTAGGCTAGTCCTCCGCCTGCAGCACTGGCACACGGGGTTCTAGTCCCGGTCAGGGTGCCGGATTCTGAGAAGGAAGAAGTCAAACTATCCCTCTTTGCAGATGATATGATTCTTTACTTCGAGGATCCAAAGAACTCTACTAAGAGACTATTGGAACTCATAGAGGAGTTTGGCAAAGTGGCAGGGTATAAAATCAATGCTCAAAAATCA